ATTCCACTATGCAACCTTAATTGTGGACTCTTGTGATAACCATAATACCCTATCATACATCGCTTTTAAATTATTCTCTCCCTCATCTGTTTCAGTTTTTAATTATTTCGATTACATACTCCCATCTGACACTAAACTTTAGTGAGCTTTTGGAGAATTTTTATTTTTTTATTTCTGCTTCCCTATTTTCTCCTGCTCCAGACCTCATGTGGAACCACAGATGTAAGATATGTGAGAAGTAGACACGAATTCTATGGGTAACATGATATATCCATCCCAGACATAAAAGACTGTAGAACTTACACCAGCGTTCTGGACTTGGGCGTAGATAGTAAGGCTTTTTGCTTCTGCAGTTGGCTGGATATGGTGTGCTTTACCTAGGAGGTAGGAGAAACATAGTAGTTATTTCTTGTTGATCCCCACCTTGGACTCTCTTCTCAAGCCTGTTACGTCTTCATCCTTTCTCCAAGAGCACCAGCTTTGGGCTCGTAGAGATGTAGATAGAACACCCTGAGTCCCAACCCCTGTGTACATTTGCCACATTAATATGAACTTGTAATTTGACCCCCGTGGGCCTATTTCACCATCTGGGAAATGATATTTGAAATACTTGTCCTGGTGTGCTGAGATCGTGTAGTGGTTAGTACTCTATGTTGTGAAATACTTGTCCTGCAGGATTGCTGTCCTAATGAAACTAGATATAATTAGGCTTAGATCAGTACATGGCACATAATAAATGCCAGTCTATGTTAAATATTCTTCTCATTGATGTTTCATTCTATGACTCTAATCTCTGTTGATTGGTGTACACATCTGACTTCTAAGTTACTTGATGATAGGAATAGTTACCACTGCATCTTCTGTATTTGCCAGCAAAGAGTCATGGCTTTCTGACCCATTGTTTAAAGGGCAGTTGGTGTGCAGCAGGCATATAGGAGGGATGATCCCTTTGAAACTATTTGGAAAATTAATCCACAATATTATTCTAATTATTATTCCAATTATTGTTGGTATGTACTGCTGAGTCTCTTGCAACTCATAGAGACCTTATGTACAACAGCCCTGAACCTTGCTCTATCTTGTGCCAATTGCACTACCTCCGACACACCCATCCCGATTACCCCAGTCACTGAATCAATCCACCTCATATAAGGTCTTCTCTCCTGCGCTGTCCCTCCACCCTCCCAAGCATAATGGCCCTCTCCAAGGACCGGTCCCTCCTCACAATATGTCCAAAGTATGTCTTCTCCAACACCAAAGCTCAAAGGCATCCGCTCCTTAGTCATTTTCCAACTCTCTGACGCATAACAAGTGATTGCAAAGACCATGACCTATATTAGACGCACCTTTGTCTCCAGAGAGACACCATTGCTCTTCAGTACTTTGGAGAGGTCCCTAACAGCAGACTTTCCCATTGCAATATGTCTATTAATTTCCTGGCTACTGGTGCCAAGAGTGTTGACTGCAGAGCCAAGCAAATCTTCTCCTTAGTGATTTACTGCCACTGAAAATCCACCAAAGAGTCAGCTATGGATTGGTTCCTACTCAATGCCACACAAATACAACAGTCTTTGCAAATGAATTGGCATACAGGCAATAATTTCACATAGTAATGATTGTGATGATGGTGCAGAATCAGAAAGCATTTCTTTCTGTTGTACACATAGTTGCTGTAATTGAAAGTGACTCCATAATACCTAACAACAACAACAACAATTTTTACAGAAGCTGGTCATTTTTCTTTTGGAGCAGCTAGTGGGTTTGAAACACTGATTTTTAGCAGCCAACTGCCTATCCAGAGCCCCTTGAATAGTGCTTGTTGGTGTTGTGATGTGCCACTGAGTCAGAACAGACTCATAGCTGACCCTCCAGTAGGTTTTCAGAGGAAAACAAAGTCACACAGAAGGAGCTAGCCCATCTTTCTACAGCAAAACAGTTAGTGGGTTTGAACCATGTGCTTTCTGGTTGGCAGTGCAGTTCCTTACCAATAGATCACCATAGCTCCCTTGATTAGCACTTAGAAGAAGGTTTATTCTTATCTGAAAGCAGAAGGTCTAGTTTGTATATGAGGAAGGTAGTGGAATGTGCTGCTATATGAATGTCTGATTAATAGGAATGTGGGGATAGGCAGCTACTGGGGAAGTGAAAATAAGTCAAGAAATGGAAATGCATTATTTTCTTGAGTGAGGTATGAACATGGCGTGTTGGAGTGGTTCTAACTTTTTTTAAAAATTATTAATTTTGATGAAAATTTACAGAGACTTTGGATTTTCATTCATTCATTGTTGCACTTTTTCTCCTGGCCACCCCTTCCCCCCAGTTTGCCCTTCTCTTTGAAAGGCAAGAGAAAAATTCTTTCATTGTGTGTTGTATGTTCAGTGGAGCGAAAGAGTACAATTGATCCAAAGCCTTTAGAGGTACCAGGTGCTATAAGCTGAGCCCTCTGAAACATAACCTTTTGGTTCTAGTCCATGAGCATTTCCAAAGTTAGAAATGCCTGCCCAGCACTCTCTTGGGTGCTGTAGAGGTAAACAACTAGAGCCAAGATCTTTCAATCTTTTGTGTCATCTCAAGTCTTTTAATTGAAGATATAATCCTGGATGGTCACATAAATGGAAAAAGCGAGGGTAACCATTGCCATTCAAAAGACCAGTGGTGTGAGATAATGCAGTCTCTTATACTACCCCTAACACAAGAACAAATTTTTCAGAAACCAGGACAATTCTGCTTAAAGTCAAGGAGGCTCTAAACCAAAACTCAAATTCATTTTCAGTCAATCACAACTTGTAGTGACCTGTTTAGGATAGAGTAGAACTGCCCTAAAAGGTTTCCAAGGCTTTAAATCTTTACAGAAATAGACTATTAAATCTTTGCCCCTCAAAGAGAGAGGTCAATTGGGAAAATAAATTATTAGGGTCTAATTAGCAAATATTTTAACTTTAGCATTAAAGCATCCATGTTCTAACCCTCACTAGTGGGTGACATTAGACAAAGCATGCCTCTCCATGGACCACTTCTCTTGCCATAACTGTTAAATGAGTTGTTAATAGTCTAATTTCCTTTTCAGCTCTCACCTAAACATACATGTCTCTAATGCTATTATGATTTTAAGTGCTTTAAATGTGCTGCTTTAAACCAAGTACACTTCTCAGAAGAAGCTCTGCTATTTGAAACCTTAGTACAGTTCCCAGAAAGAGTCCTTTAGGGTAAGTTTAAAAGCTTCAGCTGCTTACTGAAAGATCAGTCGGTGGAACTCACCAGCCGTTCCAGGGAAGAGAGATAATAACCTGCTACCACACAAATCACAGCTTTCAAGCCTGTGTGGGGCAGTTCTACTCTGTCTGTCCTACAAGGCCGTATGGAGTCACAGTTGACTAGACAGCAACAGGTTTGGAGTTTGGGGTTTAGACTGTTTCCAGATGTTTCTGGTGCTGCCCTTTGCTGACTATGGAATTTAAACATTAGAGTGTTAATTCACCTACATTAAGGATCTGAAAAATTCCTCATTACTCATTGGAATCAGAACCAACTCATAGCTGATCCTCCAGAACCTGAAGAGCATAGAAGGAGATTGTCCATTTTCTTGCCAAGGACCTGCGGGTGATCCAAATCACCTCTGGGTTAGTAGCCCAGCCCCTATGGAACACACCACCAATCTCTAGACTTTTGTCTTAATAGCTATGTGAATTACCTTCTTATATACTCTACAGCCAGGTCTACTCAAAGCTCACCGTCGTCAAGTGGATTCTAACTCACAATGCTCCTCCACTGGGTTTCTGAGTCTGTGAATTTAAATATATTTCTTCTGAACAGTTACTGCTGGATTCAAATTACTGTGAGATGCAGCCTTTGGGTTAGCTGCACAATTTGCTACAGACTACACCACCAGAGCAGCCAGCTCGTGGAGGAAATGAGACTAAAGTAGGCGGCTGTGCTAGGTGATCTAGAAAACATAAGCAAAACTCAACATCAAGTGCTGAGGTAAGGGCTTTTCTGAGAAGGTTTCATGTCAAGAACATTGATCTATTTGTGAATAAGATCAATCATCTGTGTGGTGGTGCAATCGTCAAGTCATGTCTTCATCATGGAAAGGCCAGCCAGGACATGTGAGTCCTGGGTACTGAGAGATTGAATCATAGGGCAATTTGGAGAAGAGGCCAAGAGATCATATATCTGGGGACATCAATTTAGGGGAATACTTCGGCCTTAACAGTCTCAGTCTCTTCTGGAAGATGAATTTTCCATACAATTTAGTTTGGTTTTTACATAATCACAAACTAAACTTTTTTTTCAAGTTGAGTCAGAATTTGTTTTAAAAGAGCTTTCTCTCTGTGCCTTCGAATGAGTTGTGCGTTTTCCCAGTGAGAAGAGCACTGAATGTTGGAGGAAATTACAGTTATGGTTCCCCCACCAACTTGGGTGACCTTCCTTGAGTCACTGACTCTCCATGTTTCTGCTACCCTATTGGTAAGTTACGTGGAAACAACTACTCTACTTTCAAAGGGAAGTTGTAATGACTGGAAGAAATGATGAAAGGTTTCAATCACTGAGTGAAATCATCTTATTGTAAAGTCCTTCCAGTGATTATAACTTCATTTGAATGAGGTTCAAGAATTCTCTGAATTCTACTTGCTAGTGAATACTGTTATACCTCTTCTATGGGTCTCTTTTGCATCCTGCACATATACTTATGGTACTCTTGTTATTGTTAGGTGCTGTCAAGTTGATCATAACACACTGTGACCCTATGTGACAGAATTTTCTAGGCTGTAGTGTTTATAGGAGCAGATTTTCAGATCTTTCTCCTGTGGAGCTGCTCCAGTTCAAAAGGTTGAGTTCAAACTGCCAACCTTTTTTTTTTCTTCCCTCGACTAGTTTATTTATAGAACACAAATACAAATTTGAACAAATTCTTTCCGTTTCCCTCACCCCCCCCATCAAATTGTACAGCCCAATGATTAATCTCCCCTCTCCCTGCACATCAACCTCCCTCTGCTTCCAGCCTCTCCCATGCCTCCTGGATCCTTATACTCATTCTACAATAATGGTTTTCTACAGTATTTATTCTTATGGGACTGAGTTAGTTCACTCAGCATAATGCTCTCCAGTCCCTCCCGAGTTAGGTAATAATTTACAAGGTTATTGCTCCTGCGTGCTGCATAGTATTCCATTGTGTGAACAAACTGCCAATCTTTTGATTAACAACCAAGCTCTTAACCATTTGCATACCCAGGATTCTTATTCCAGCATTTAGCCATTTTAAATTGACATTATTTTTGTGTGTGTCTGCCCCCACTTTAACTACCGTGAGTTATCTCTATTTTTATCTCTGTAGTTAGTATGAGAGATTAAGACATGTTGAAGTCCCCTGAATGGACAAGGTCCTAGTATTTAATCTTTTTTGTGAAAATGTTCCATGCAGAAAGTCAGAGTAGTGAGAATAGGGCTACACTTGTGGAATGAGGTACTTCTTACCACAGAGAGTCTGATAAAAATCTCTACTGTCAGACACCTACCTCTTCTTCTCAACCGATGTATTATCACATTGAGAATCATGACACCAACAATTGCCCCTAAGACCAGGCAAGCATACAATACCCATGGTATTGTTTCTGGAAAAGAAAAAAAAAAGGTTAAAGTACCACGAGTTTGAAACATACAACACAGAAATGAGAAGATGGAATCTCATCTCTTTCTACATTTCCTCCCTAGGAGCTGTTCATTCTCATAGTTTTACAAATCTGTTTAAATTACTGAAGTTTTCCAAATCTGTTTTCTTAATTTCTCTCACCACACTTGATGTTCATATCCCCACTTTCTAAAAGAGTTTTTCCATTTAGATGTTATAATTTCATCTCAATTACTATAGGTCTAAAATTAAACTTATCTTAATGTCTTTTTAAGTCAAACTCTCATCTCAATTTCTCTGTTTCCCCCCCCTTTCTATCTTGAATCTTCTGTAACTGCTTTGGTAAAAAGAACATGAAATCACATGTGCTGTCTCCACACTCAAGACCATTCTCAAGAGACTCTGAGAAGGAGAAAGGTCTACTTTTGTTTTTTAAAAATAAACACATCAGTGCTATTATTGTTCCTTCATGCAAATAATTGTATTGAATCCACTAGACCTGAACTAAAAGAAAAGCAGAAGCATTTTCCTTTTACCCTTCTTATATTTAATATTATCCATACAGTACCAATCAGAGATCCAACTTGTATTACTTTCTCTCTTTTACTAAGTCCTTTTTAACAAAAAGTAACATTTAGAAAACAGTGAGACTTACTGCCTTGATAAGCAAGATGTTTACCTCAAAAGATACAGATTGACAATTACTGAGGATTTACAATGAGCCAGGTACTTTTCAAAATGAATCCTATGTACTAACTGTATTTAATCCTCACAACAATCCTGCACTGTTATTGTTGTGTACTATCGAGTTGGAACTGACCCATAGCTGAACCTCCAGCTGGATTTCAGAAGCAGTTTGCTCACACAGGAGGAGATTGGCTATTCTTCTCCTGTGGATTGCAATCTCCCTTCAGGACTATCGTGCAAGTCCTTGCCACCAGAGCTCTTGATAGTATAGTTACTCTGAAATCTCACATTTTATGGGTAAGGAAGGAGGTGTAGAGATCATCAAGAACTATTGTTTGGTCTTTGAGTAGAGGAATGGCTACCTAATGAAGAAAGAGCTCTTGGAGACTTAGAGAGACTCTTGGAATGAGTAACTAAGAATAAACGGTGAGGGCCAACCTGAGCAAAAGTTCTAAGGAATGTAATAGCACTAGGGTTTTAGAAAGTGTAACAGCAGATGCTAATACTAATTTGTAAAAATGTATTCATCAGGACAAAAGTTGAGTAACCCTTCTTCTTATTGATTCTATAATGGATCTATTGAGAAGAAAATGAAAGGCAAAAGTAGGTGTGTTACAAAGGAATGGAATGCTTGAAGAAGGGTTCAGATGTTTATAGAGTTGGTCAAAGATACAGACTGAGAGATGTGAAGCTCTGGGAATTCTCATACACTGCTGGTGGGATTGTAAAATTGTGCAACCACTCTAGAAGACAGTTTGGTGTTTACTCAAAAGTTGAACGTAAAAACTCCATATGACCCAGCTGTTACCTTACTTGGAGTATACCCCAAGGAAATTAGAACTGAAACACAAATGGAGATTTGTACACCAATGTTCACAGTGACATTATTCACCATCACAAGAACATGAAAACAGCCCAAATGTCCAACCACAGCCAAATGGATTGAGACATTACGGTACATTCATACAATGGAATACTATGCAGTACTCATCAACAATTTTTAAAAAATATTATGTAACTTGGGAGAGGGTGGAAAACATTATGCTCAGTGAACTAACACAGTCTCATAAGGACAAATGCCATTATTATAACAATAGAAGGATAATTAGAAAAACATGTATGGGGAATTCAAAGGGCTGAGGATAGGTAGGGGCAAAACCACAGGGTAACACAGTTTGATGGGTGGAGGGAGGAGGGAGGAAATGAGAAGATTCTGGCAGAAAAGACAAGGTAATGATGGGCAAGGTTGAATGATGATTAATTTTCTAAAACATAATTCATGGGAATGATTGTATGAAATGATGTGAATGAAGAATAGTGTGAAACACAATGTATACAAACTTTGTAAGCAAACCAATTAAAAAATAAAAAAGATACAGACTGAAGTCTCTATGAATTGAAAGAAGGCATCCTACCAGGATTCAAGTGGGCCTTCAGCCTGATGCAACCAGAAGTTATTTTATGGATTTGAAAAAACTCTTCCTTTGTAGTCTTTACATACTTTGGTAACTCCAAAGAATCTTTTAATTGATTTTTTTTAAAAAAAAACTTCTTGTTTATAGATTCTCTTTCCAAAAAAATACGTATGCTTTAACACTGCCGAAGTAGGCAGTATGGTGGCTCAGTGTTAAAATTTTCACCTCTTTCATTTTGAATTCCTGGACAATGCATCTCAAAACCAGTCACCATGCATCTGCCAGTGCAGTCTGTTTCAATGATGCTGTACAGGTTTCCAAATCAGGATAGACTAATAGGAATAAAGAACTGGTGATTTCCTTCCAAAAGAAATCCAGTCAAAATCCTGTAATCTAATCCTTGTTGTACATAAGGTTACTATGATTTGGGTTAGACTCAGTAACAGCTAACACCACCGCCAACAGCTGACAACCATATTAGAACCACCACCTCCACCATACTAGAAACTTACTTGAAAATAAAATCCTGTGATCTGATAGGAAAAACTAGAGGGCTAATAGAACTGTAGCAGACAAACAAAAAAACCTCAAACAACCCCCAAATCAAAAAACTCTACACATGTATGACACAACAACCAAAAACTTCATTGCTGTTTAGTTTAAATTGACTCACAGATGAACCTCCAGCATGTTTTAAGAGGTTGTAAATCACAAAAGGGGAGACTGCCCATCTTTCTCTTAAGGAACAGGTGGTGGATTTAAACTACAACCACCCGCCTTTGGGTTGGCAATGCAATTGCTTAACCACCAGGCAACCAGAACTTCCTTAAGTTATAATAAAACCCCAGAACTTGTATAAAGCATGAAGACTAGGATCACTGCTGAAATTGCAACTATTTCCTATGCAGCTCCAATTGGAAAGGTTTATCATCACTGAGAACCCTCTGTGTAGGAGTGTGTGTGTGTGTGTGTGTGTGTGAGAGAGAGAGAGAGAGAGAGAGAGAGAGAGAGAGAGAAGAGAGAGAGAGAGACACTGGGGGAAAAAAAAGATGATTAATTTTTGGCTTAAAATGCCAACTCAGTGTCTTAGTTCTAGCCTTAAAATGCCAGCCTAATGTATTAGTTATCTAGTTCTGTTGTAACAGCACTATCACAAGGGGGTGGCTTGAACCAAAGAAACTTAGTATCTCACTTTTTAGGAGTTAGACTTCAGGATACCAGCTCTAAGGGAAGCCTTTCTCCCTGTGGCTCCTGATTCTGGGAGTTTCCCAACACAGGGACCTGGGTCCAAAGGATATACCACTTCTAGTTCTTCTTTTGAGGTGGTAGGGAGGGTCTCCTTTTCTGCTTCTTTCTCTCTTTTTTATCTTTTGTAAGATCAAAAGTGGAGGCAGGTTATGCCCTGGGGAAACACTCATTATATAGTACAGGACTGTGGCCTAAGAAAGGGTCTTTCATCCCACCATGATACCCTTAAATTATGAGGAACAAAGGATCTGTTCTCATAATCCAGACAGATCTGAAAAGAAATATGGTCATAATTCTGGACTATGGATCTCAAACTTTACTTTTCCTACTAGTGTTTGGATATAAAATATTCTTAATCTAGTGGGGGAATATTCAACTGTAGTTTTTATCTTTCCTAAACCCTAATTTTGTCTGGAGAGGGTGCAGCCAGAGAGCTCTTTGGAGGCAAGAATGGTGAGGCTTTGCCTCACATACTTTGGGCATGTTGCTAGGAGGGGCTATTCCTTGGAGAAGGACATGATTCTGGTAAGGATTGAGGATTGGCAAAGGAGAGGAAGACCCTCAACCAGGTGGATTGATACGGTGACTGCTGCAATGGTCTCTTGTGTGTCACAAAGCATGAGGATGGTGCAGGATAGAGCAGGGTTCATCTCTTTTGTTCATAGGATTGCTATGAGTCATACTCAACTCAACAGTAACTAATAACAACAATTTTAGCTTCGAAAAATTAAGACTTATTGGTAAGTGAGCATTGGGTCACAGAGAACGTCTGCAGCAGCCTGAAGTGAGGATGAAGACAGCTGACTTTTCAGTGTATTTTAGCCTCTTGGGATAGATTCCTCAGAATAAAAGTGCTGGCGACTATGCTGCCTGCAAGATCATGTGTCTAAAAAGCCCATTAATATGTAACACAGTGTGAATGAAGAATAGTATGAAACACAATATATCTGAACTTTGTGGGCAAGCAAATATAAACACACACACACAGAGCAAACTGGGGAGTGGGTAGGGAGGAAAATGTAAACAATGAATGAATGAAAATTCCAACTTTCTGTACACTTTTGTTAAAATCACACACACACACACACACACACACACACACACACACGAGCGCATGTGCGATTAGTCATTGAAAGAACACAATGTGTTTGTGTGATCGAAGTAAAAATTTTGGTTTTATGGCTGTCTGTGTTTTATCCTCTATAAATTTTGTAATAATGGGGGGAAAAGTCCCATTGAGCTGTGAACTCACCCTTGTTCTACTCTCCGTCTAACATGTGATCATTCTTGCCCTTGAGGTCTACTTTCATGCTGTTGTTTCTGTTCCACCTTCATCTGTCCCCCTGCTTGTCTGGCAATGCCTGTTGTTATTGTTAAGTGCCGTCAAGTTGCAGGAGACTCATAGCGACCCTATGAAGGAGAGTCCTCAACGCTTGGGTGCCTTTCTTCCTCTCTCCAGGTTCATAGGGTTTCCAGAGGCAAGCTATTTGGAAGTGGATGCCACTCCTCCTTACAAGCTTGTTTAATTGTGGAGCTCCGCCCCACTCTCAGTCCGCATTGGGTAACCAACCATTAACACATTTGACACATCAGCGTCACAGTGTTCAGCCTCACATCAACCACAAGTGACCAC